ACAAGACAAAGTTCTTCTCATTCTTCCCTCCCCAATCCATACACAGAGGGGTCTCTCACCCTGGCTACCACTGTCCCAGGCCCACAGGGAGTACAGACAGGCTATCACTGATCTTCACTCAAGGGCTAAAGGCTCTTCACTCAGCTTGTTGTGAATGCTGCAAGGTCTGGGACTCTCTTCAGAGGAGTGGGCTCCCCTCTGGCCCTGGACACATCCATATATGCCATCCAAGAGCCAAGTCCTGGAACTGGGAACCCAAGAGCCTGCCTGCTACTTTATTCCACTGTGGCCAAACTTGTACCTAAGCTCCAAGGTCCCCTTTATTCTTCCCCCTCCATTTGTCAAGTAGAAGGAGTCTTTCCTCAAGGCCACCACAGGTAGAAATATGCTGGGTCACACCTGAAGCCAGCATGTCTGGGTTCACCCAAGGCCCAGGGCATTTACTACCTGGTTACTGTTGCTGATTATCCAGGACCCAAGGTCTTTAATCAGCAGGTGATGAGTTCTGCCATGACTAGGTCTTTCACTTCAAGGCAGTGGAGTCTCTGCTGTCCCAGAGTGTGTCTAGAAATGTCTGGGAGCTATGTCCTGGAATAGGGGCCTCAGGACTCTGCCCAGCACCCTATTCTACTGTGGCTGAGCTGATATTCAAGTTGCAAAATAAAACCCCATTTATTCTTCCTTCTCCTTTCCTCAGGCAGAAGGAAGGAGTCTCTCCTGGAGCTGTGGGCTGTGCTGCCAGGGGTTGGAGGAAGGGTGGCATGAGCACTCCCTTGGCCACCCTGGCTGGGGACTCACTAGGTCATGTGTCCCCAAGTCCACTGGCTCTGAGCCCAGCATAGCACCAGGACTTGCCTGGGAATCCCAGTCTTTGTGACCTAGACTGCCTTTCCAGTTTATTTAGTACCCAGGAGCTGTGTAGCCTATGTTAGTGAGGCTTGCAGCAACTAAACTTTTGAACACTAGGACAGGCGATTCTCCTCTGGCTAGGCCTAGTCTAAATGCTCCCTCTGTGGGTGCTGACTGAGTTCTGCCTGGTGTTGCTTTCCACTGTGACAGGGCAGAACTGAGCTCTAATGGCAAGTCCCACAATTCCTGTGCTGTCCCTTACCCAAGTACACAGATTCTCTCCCCATGCTTTGCTGCCACTGCTGGTGGGGTGTTGAGGTGATGGGGGAGGGGTAGCATCAATAATTCAAGACTGTCTTTTCTACCTCTTCAGTGTCTCTTTCAGTGATATAAAACTAAAATCAAGTACTGTGATTGCTCACCTGATGTTTGGTTCTTATGAAGGTGCTTTTTTCATATGGATAGTTACTCAATCTGGTGTTCCTGTGGGGAGGATGATAGGTGAAGGCTTCTATTCAGCCATCCTGTTCTAACTCTTCTGAAAGGTTTTGTAGAGGGGCAACAGGGGATGTGACACTTTGAAAAGATCACTTTGTCTGGGGGTGTAATATAAAGTTCCATTTATTGGCCAGGCGCGGTGGCTCAAGCCTGTAATCCCAGCACTTTGGGAGGCCGAGGCGGGTGGATCACGAGGTCAAGAGATCGAGACAATCCTGGTCAACATGGTGAAACCCCGTCTCTACTAAAAATACAAAAAATTAGCTGGGCATGGTGGTGCGTGCCTGTAATCCCAGCTACTCAGGAGGCTGAGGCAGGAGAATTGCCTGAACCCAGGAGGCAGAGGTTGCGGTGAGCCGAGATCACGCCATTGCACTCCAGCCTGGGTAACAAGAGCGAAACTCCGTCTCAAAAAAAAAAAAAGTTCCATTTATTTACATTCTGATGCCTTTTATACATGTGACTGTGACATTTAGTTAGATCATTCTGGTGGCAGTGAAGAAAAGGTATTTGAGGGAGATGAAAATGAAAGCATAATTACCAACTGGAACAATACTGAAGTAAGGCAATAATATAGTAATAGGGAGGGAAAAGATTTAAATTCAGATATATTTTTCATTACATACTTTTTTATATTATATACATACTATGTGTGTGTGTGTGTGTGTGTGTGGTTGTTAGGGTTTGGTGGTTGTGGAGTGGCTGTGGAGAAAGTGGTGAGAGTGTAGTATGACACCAGGATTTTGGTTTGACTGTGTAAGCCCTGAAATACAGAACACAAAACGAGGGAATGAGTTGAGGGAGCAAGCATGATGAGCTCAGTTTCAAATATGTTGCCCCTGATACACCCATAAAATATTCCAGTAGCAACATTGATCCCACCAGTTTCAGGTCCCAGGGAGAAGGTCAGGCCGGAAACAAGAATTTGAGAGTCATCAGCAGAAGAGATGGAAGCTAAGCTCTGAAGGTGGCGTATGTCATCAAGAAACTTGACACTGGGGGTGAGAAATTTTAAAAAGTAAGTATTGAGAAACAAAAGATCAGAGGGATAAGAACAATGGTAGTCAAAGAGGAGAGACCCTCAAGAAGAGATGAGTGATCAACAGGGCCAGATGCATGGAAATGATCACATATACTAGAACCTAGTGTATCTATTATGTGTAGCAAAATAGAGTCAGAGGTGAATGTATTAGTCTGGGTTCTCCAGGGAAACAGAACCAATAAGAGATTAGATGTAGATGGGGATGTATTTTAAGAAATTTGCTCATGTGGTTATGGAGGCTGTGGAGTCCCAAGATGTGCAGTTGACAAACTGTGGACCCAGGGTACAGTTCCAGAATGAGTCTGAGTCCAAGGTTAGGAGAAGGCTGGTGCCCCAGCTCTAAGACAGTCAGTGAGTAAGTTCTCCCTCACTCATCCTCAGTCCCTCAATGGATTGGATGAGGCTCACCCACAATCTTCACTCAGCCCACCTCATCCAGAAAGACTCCCAAAGACATACTCAGAGGAATGTTTAACCAAGTATCTGGGCACCTCAGAGGGAAGAGTGAGAAATCAATAAAACTGTGGGTGTCGACTACTGTTAAAAAAATTTGGCAGAGCGCTGCCAGTGGTCACAAGATCAAAGAGTATATTGGCCTTTTTATTTTTTTAGGATGGAAAGGTAAGCATTGTATAAGTTGTAGGTTTATGGATTAATCAGTCAAACTTTCTTGAGTTGGGAGAGACCAGATTGGGAAGAAATAGAGCTCAGGAAAGGAGGTCGGAGAGAGGTAGAGCAGAAGTGAGGATGAGGAAGAATCAGAGGATGAGGTTACATGTGGGAATGGAAAGACAAGATTTTTGAACTGGAGCTGTTCTGGGTGAAGACAAAGCCCAAGATGCAGGCTTGAAAGGGGTGGCTGAAAAGGAGTGGAAGTTAAGGCTCCTGGAGTGGAGAAAGCCAAGGAAGCAAAAGGCTCCAGGGCTGAGTAGGTTGTTCCTGTGGCTCTTTTCTTCCCGATGCAAGTTACTGACCTTTCTTCACGGCCAGTATCAAAGGCCATCTCTGTAATAACTTACTGAGCCTCTCCTCTCCCTCAAAGTCACCAGGGCATCCTCCTACCCAAAGAAAGTATTAACGTTTTTACATGGCTAGTTTAATTCTTCATGAGTCTGAGTAGTGAAGACTGTCTTGTCACCCTGAAGACCTCTAGAGAAATAGTTCTCTATCTTTAGAATACAAAGGGACTACCAAGTAAGTAGCTTAAAAAAACCAATTTGCCAGATTCTGATTTCAGTGGGTTTAGGATGAAGATTCAGAATCTGAATATTAACCAACATCTCAACTATCTCTAATGGGATATCCGGGGAGAACATCATTCAGTTGGCACCACGCTCTGTGGTTGAAACAAATTTTATGGAGAAGAATTATTAGAATAGAATGGAGTAGTCCTGAAAGAATCATTGCAAACGTTCACAGTCCCAACTGCAGTTTGATGAATAACCGGCAGGTGGCAAACGACCCACACAACTCACAGAAATTACAGCTGCTCAGGCTCCCAATTCCTAGACCCAAAACCGCCCAGGAGAAGAGGAGAATCTTATTTCCTAAGCAATGCTGTCGGCGACAACGGTGAGTTTCATCCTTTGCATTTGCATCCCAATGTACCAATGGCCCACCTCTTGCTCTGGTCCCCAGAGTTAAAGTCATGCTGACCCCATGATGTTGCTTTCTGGCTACCAAGAGCCACAATCCTGGCACCAACAAGGACTGGTCAGTGGGAGAAGAACAGCAAAACAAGTTTGTCCGCTCAAAGGGAGAATTGGTTGCCACTAGAAGATCATGTGGTCTACGCCTGAATTGTCTATGTAGTCAGAATCAGAGGGGAGGCATCTTACTCAACCCCTTCATTTTAAAGAGCCTAAGAAAGCATGAGCAACTTGCCAGAGGTCACAGAGCTAGAAAGTTCCAGGATTTCCTGGCATCTGTCTCTTTAAGTGACTTGCCTTTTCACTGCACCTACCACTAACATGTGTCAAAGGGTGTGTGTATGTTTAAATCATTAGTGTCTGCTCATGAATTGTTATATAGGAGAAGCTTATGGGTGACCATCTGGTTGGGGAAGAGGGACTGGATGACTTTAGGATGTGTTTGCATAACAAGTCCACCACTTTTACCTAGATTGTGTATTTATTTGGGAGCAGTCTGGCAGACGCCGAAGGGTGGGAGTCCAAAGAGAAGGAAGCATGGGGAAGAAGATTCTCTCGGTGCCCGCACTGCATGTTTGAATGGACTTTCTTATACATCTCCTTTAATGTCTACTAAATCACAGATTGATCAAAGGCACTCATTGTGTCTTACTCCCCTCCGATTATGTTTTATAGTTATTTGATGAATCGATGAGCATGTCAACCTTGATCATCTTTAGATCTAAACAGTATTTTCTAACATCTTAGATGATTAGCGTATACCTCCTGTTACGTATTTCTGTCTGTTTGTACTTAACACATATCCTGTGTTTATTATGTGCACTATTGTCAGCATTTTACAAATATCAACTTATTTAATCTTGTCTTTTTTGCTGTTTCCTAAAGAGTCCCTGACAGTGAATATCTACTATTAGAAATCTTTCTCTTCTCCTTTCTTCCTCTTCCCCTCAAAAGGACTGAAATTCAGTTACTGGTCCCTGCCGGTGCTGCAAATACTTAGCCTGGGGAAGAGTGGTGGGGAGAGACGAAATAGTTAACTAGCTGACCTGGGGCGCACAGCTTCCCTAGCACCTGCTGCGCTCAGGCTGCGGCTGGCTGCTTCCTCCTGAATCTGTTAGGAGTACACTTTCCCCTTGGCCCTCGGGGGCCAGCGTCCAGGTTTGCCCCAGCGGTGGAGACAGCTCCAGTCACCGAACTGATTTATAGGCCAGAGCATTCCCAGGCCGCACCGCAAGGAGTCGGGCTGAGCTTGGACTTTGGGGAGGTGGTGATGGACACAGGACACGTGGCCACACAATGGGGACACACGACTGACCTAAGTCACTTCGGTAAACTGCCCTTGCTTTCCGGAGGCAGCAGGAGCGTTTCGGGAGCTCCAAGTCTCTAGGCGCCTGCATTCCTCGCCCCAGCAGGTAGTCCCCTCGCCCGGTTGAACGCCGGAGCAAGCCCCCAAGAGCTCTCAGAGGTCCCTGACCCTGAGCGTTAAAGCCCTTCCTCGTGGATGAGACCCTCGGTGCGTTCCATCCTCTTAGGGGCTGGGACTGGCCAGGACGCACTGAGAATGAACTTTATGCGCAGGTCCGATATAGGCACCCAGGGGTTTTGTGACGTCACAATGCCGTGGGGCCCGGTGAAAGGCAAAGGAAGGGTCGGAAAGAGATAGTGTGTGCGTTGTGTGGCTGAAGGTGGGGGCATATGAGAAGAGGGAAGTCGGAGGCATGGGGGAAAGGATTTGTGGACATATGAATTTAAGAAGGAGCAATCAAGTTTGGGCGTCGGGGGAAGCAGGATTTTTTTTTCTTCCTCCCTCCTATATGCAAACTGTCACTTCGGGTTAGCCTGAGCCCTTATCTGGCTCATTAGCATGAGCTGTGGCTAACATGCTTAAACTCTCTAATTATTTATTATGCCGTCACGGAGCGAGTTGCAACCCCACCCCGGGACGCACTTTCAGGGACCTGCAGAGCTGAGCACCGCACGGGGACGGGGCACAGCGCCTGGCCTGGCTGCGCGCTACCAGGGAGACCCCTCGCGGCTCAGGAGTCCCGCAGGGTCTGTTCTGAGGGTCAACGAAGTAGAGTTGTTGGGGGTCTGTCTGAAATGTCTTTTCACCAACATTCTTCCCCAGGGTAGTAGCACTGCACTTGTCTGGCTGAACTGCATGGCACCCTAACTTCTCCTTGACAATTCCAAAGACCGAAGTTGGAGCGAAGAGCAACAGAATTTTTGCAAAAATAAAAACAGAGGCCAAACCCAGGGCAAAGGGTTGGGAACTGGGGCTGGGTAGCCTGTTGCGTGCACCTTCCAGAAGAACGCTGGGGAGAACCTAAAGTTCGCTGGAGCCCTCTTCCCCTCTCCTGCGTTCCAAGAGGATCCACAAAGTGGGGTTGGGAGATTTGATAGGCTGAAATCCGGTCACTCACGTCCACGGTTCTATTCAGAAAACAGTTTCAAAATAAGTTAACCTCTGTAGGGCGTTTTTCCCCCTCCCCTTCTAATTGTCCCCCCTTCCCCCACCCCCTCCCCCATTTGAGTCTGTTTTATGTTCCCCTGCGTTGTGCCAACTATTTTATCTTTATTCCTTCTCTTTCTCTCTTGCTATTCATTCCTTTTTGTGTGTGTGGCTTCTCCGGCTGATGTGCAGCTCGTTACCACCCACTGCACACTTGCTCCTGTAGCTGAGGTGTTTCTATACAAACTCCAGCGTCCAGTTGTCATATTAATTATTACACTGAGTAATGACTGAAATGGTCAAAATAAGGGGAGACTCAAGAGCGCTTTTTCTTGCGGCTCAAAGATTCAGCAAAGAAGCCGTGCAACAAAGCACTAATTGGTCCCCAGAAACACTCTGACAAGGCATGGAAGATAGGTTTCATAGAGCCCTTCGATTGTGAAGGGGGGAGAGCTCTGAATGGACTCCACGCTTCTTTTCTAAACTCTCTTGCTGAGCAAAAAATGGACCTCTGTTTGAATACTGCCCTGATCCTTGAATACTATACCCAGCAGAGAAAAAAATGCAGCATTTATTGTAAGTTTTTTTTTTCTTCTCCAGCTATTCAGGGGTTCTCTGTGAAGAATCAGCTGGTTTTGTTTACCGTGAAAGACCTTTACTTTATTTTCATTCTTGGAGGAGGTGGGGAGGAGGAGGGAAGGAAAGCCATGTGCCTAGACAGAGAGGAGCTGGCCTACTGTAACAAAATAGAGTGTAACAAATCCTACAAAAGTTTAGAATGTATTGATTCTTTGGAGAGCTATATAGATTAACGACTTTCTTTATGCTCATCCAAGGAAGGTATTTAATCATAATGTAAATGGGGCTTTAGAAAAAAATAAAGACTTAGCGTTACTTCTCCTTATTTGGAGAACTTCAAAAGGCCTGGTGAGGGTGGCTGCAAATTACCTCCTCACCCCACCCCACATTCCCTCCTTATCCCCAAAGCCACAATAAAATATAGTTTGTGCTTTTTTTGTTTTGTTTTTCCAACTTTTTTTTTTCTTTTTAAAGCATTTTGAAAAAGTGAATAGATTTGTTAGAAGGCTGAATTCCTGACTGCAGGTGCAAGCCTGGCTGTTGTGACCAGGAAGCTGAGCCAAGCCAAATACATGGGTTGTGCTATTCTGCCCCCTGAGCAGGCCCTCCAAGGCTGGTGCAGAGTCAATGCAGGCTGGGCAGCAAACCTTTCTGAAAATTACCTTGGGAAGGGTGTTCTTAGAAGCAGTAGATTGTGCAGTCATGTTCTTTTCAATTTCCCTGGGTCGGACAGTGTCTAGCACAGGCTTAGAGCAACACACACCCCAGCAGGACAGAGGCTCTGTATTAATTATAGCTCCTGGAAGCCGAATATTTGCTATGAATGCCAAGCACACTCACTTTTCTCAAAGCATCCACTGCTTCTGGAACTCTAGTCACCCCCAAATTGAGGCTTACACTAAAAATCTTGTAAAAAAAATCCAGAATCCAAGATTTGTGTTCATCTTTGTACTCTCTGCCCCAATGCAGAATCTAACTAAAGTTAAAATATAACTTTATTCAATTATTTGTCCAATGGAAATCCCAGTTTCACTTTAGTATCAATTCCTCTCCCCAAAAAGAAAGCATAAACTGTTTTTCAAATAGATGAGTCATATCTTCTTTTTACAGAGAGATGACACACAATCAAGGGAAGGTACATAGTTCTTGAGCTTTAGCAAAGGTGGCAATGGCCTGGCCTTCAGTTGTGACTGGAAATTAAGAAGACTCAGGACACAGGGTCTCTGATCTCAGGACAGCAGACCCCTGTGGCCACCAGGAAAGCCATCTCCCCCTGCAGATCCTGGTGCTGAATGAAGATAGGGTCTATTCTGACGTATGGTTCAGCTCCAGTGTTCTGATACAGGAAAGGGGCCTGAAGGTGCAGAAATTAAGTTCCTTATTATATTGGAGGAGAAAGAGAAGCCTTCTCCTCTTTCCATAATGTCTGTATTTTGGATGATACTCACCAAAAGGGATCAGCACTTTGCCCTCCCTCTCCTCCACCGCCATGACGAGACAGAACACTGGTTGAATGCTGCTATTTGAAGGAGTGAAAGGGCAATCTCTGATATGTAGAGAGATTTGCAAAGCAAGTTACCCAACAATATCTGATTTAATTCTCATAACACCCTTGACATACAGGCAAAGAGAGCACCACCACCTCATTTATGAATGAAGATGTCAACCCCCCTTTTGTGAGTCGTTTACTTCTCCCTTCATGTGAAGATAAGTGGGACATTGTTCAAGTGTCTCAGCCAAGTAAAGCTCTAGGGACTTTCTCAGAATCAGGCCCACTGTGTGGCAAGGGAGCCATGGAAAGCAGGGCCCAGTGGCTCTGCTAAAGTCCCTTGCATGTGGAGGCCACAGAACGTCTCTATAGTCTACCTCACTTGCTACTGTTCATATCTAAAAATAGGGTTCCTATCTCTATCACCTTAATATGCCAGCATCACCGCCATTTCTCACAAAGGACAGGAATTACTCACCTCTAGGTGCTGGAACAGTGAGACAGAGTGGCACTGGATCTCCATTGGCTGGAGAGATGTTCACAGAGTGGTTCCAGGAAGCCAAGTGCTGAGGCTCTTACTGCCACAAACCCTTTCCTGGGTGGGTTGTGTAAGCATGACTTCCTTATTAATCCCTTTCTCTTTAGACCTGGGCTAGAGTGCTCTACATACATATCATTGAAATCTCACAACTTTTGGAGGTAGGTGCTGTAATTATTGGCATAGGTGAAATAGGGACTCCCAGAGTGTTTCAGGGTCCCACAGCTCTCAGGTAACAGGGCCTAGATACCAAGTCAAGTCAGCATGCTTTATCTGGAATTCCATGGGCCTAGGAGAGCACAACATGTGGCCAGTTCTCTCCGGGAGGGAAGAGGGATTATAATTTAGGTCACAGAGTCAAAGGCAGGGTCCTAATGTTGGCTCCTGAACCTCCCATCTTTTGCCTCACACTGGTGAAAATGCCCAGAAAGCCAATGTCAATGGAAAACTCTCCTTGGTAGAATCTCCAAGGATAGAAATGCAAACCTCTAAAGAAAAATCATCGACTGTTCTACCTTAGGGTTAGAGGAGAAAGTGGAGATGACAATGAGCAGCAAACTCCAGGTTTACTTGAGTGGGGAGAGGAGAATGCCTGTGCTCTTGGAAAGCTTTGCAAAGCATGTAAGGAAGAAAACAGTGTACTAGGGTGAGAACAGTGAGGACAGGCTCAGGGTTGGCATAGGGAGAATAGGGACAAATATTATGGTGGTTTTGGCCAGAAGGATCCCAGTGCCAATTATCTTTTCTCCTGTGCTAAGGCCAGTGAGTAAGGCCACTACAAGACAAGGTTTCTTCACTACAATGCAATTCCATTTGGGCACCCATTTCATGGTGTGTGGGAGGGGGAACAGGAGAGGAGTTTCCGTCTTCTAAGTCCCTGGTAGTTGAGATCTCTGTGTACGCCTTCTGAAAAAAGAAACTGGGAACACATGCTGGCAACCAGCACATTTCCTAAGCTGTTAGATACCAGTTTCAAAATTAGCTAGTGTACATCCCTTCTGTGCAGATCAGGACACTGAGGCCAGGAGAAGCAGAAGGACTTGTCCAAGGTTATAAGGCACCACTGTGGTATCTGAAGTATGGTAGATACCACATACTGCAGTAGAGCTCAGACTCTGGACCTTTCTGAAGTGAGTCCAAGTTGGAAGGGAGCTTGGGGCTCATGATTTAGCTTAATGTAAAAGAAAACACATCTAGACGCTTCCACGTTTGTGACACTCTCTCCTACCCCCAATGCTCAACTATTTCGGTGAAATGGAGTGAATGGGGCATTTGGACATAGCTGGGTCAGGTAAGTAGTGGGTAAGGAGTGACTGAATAATTCCTATTTCTGCAAGTGGTCTGAGGCGTCCTCTGGCTGGGAGGCATAGAGTGTCCAGGCTGTGTTGTGACTCTGCTTTTGGGGCTCACCCCCTATACTTCCAGAGACCTCTTAGCCTGTTTCAAGACCTTAGACTGTGGTCAAGGATACAGAGAAAGGCCCGAAGTGTGACTCCCAGAGGGTTCAGCCAGTCTGGTGAGGTCAGCAAGCCACAGGTTGCCATGGGGAGAAGGGGCTGTGTGGCTGGGAGGTTACAGAACTGATCTCTGTTGACGCGATGTGGTCCTATACCTCTCAAGTCCACCTACTCTGCAAAGAGGAAACTGAGGCAGAGAAGAGAAGTGATTCACTTCGGGAGCTGCCGATCCTAATTGCCCAGCACCATCACTATTGTTCCACAAACAGCCAGCCCACATACCAAGAGGGACTCCCCGGGTCATCCCCGTTGCCCCTTTGGAAAGACCCATCCCCACAAAGGGGAGTTCAATTAGAAGCAATTATCCGGATAATTCACCACAATCATTCCTGCACCCAGGTCTCAGATTCTTTCTACTGGAAAATCAAACGGATGACTGCCCTTCACTTCCTTCTGCCTGTGTAGACACAACCCCAGACGCGCCCCAGCCTCTCTCAGGACCAGAGCTTTAAAGAGTGGGGCCTGTTGCTAGGTCTGCTTTCTCCGCAGCGTCGCATCCCCGTACTGAAGCTGGACCGGGTTCTGGCCAGAGAGCGCCAGGGCCGAGGGCCCAGGAAGGGCGCCTGGGCAGGCGCTGTCCAAGCGGCCGAGCAACGGCTGCGAGTGCCTCCCCCTCCCTCGCGGCGCCAGCACGCGGCCCCGCCGGGCTCAGCTCCCAGTCGCCTGCCACCGGCCCGCCGGGCACACGCCTGGGGCGGGATGGAGGCTGCGCCAAAGGCCGCCAAGGTGCCCGCGGCGGCGCTGAACAACCAGGGAAGCTCCACCGGAGTCTTAAGCGCCATCACCCAACCCCGCCCCGCATCCTTCTCGGAGGGTCTAGGAATATCCCAGAGCACTCCCTTCTCTATGATGTCCCCCAGGCTGGTCCGGAAATAATCCTTGGAGGGGGAGGGGAGGATGGAGGCGGTGGGGGGCGATGCTACAGGTGCCAGAGGTCTTTCTAGGGACGCCCCTGCCACATACTCGCCTACAGCGTGGCTCACAACCACTCCTCATTGCCGCTTCTCCTCAGCTACCCCCTCCTCCACGCTCAGTGGTGGGGAGCACATCCTAGCTTTCAGTGCTGAATGGGACATTAGAGATCATGTTCTCCGCTGCAGTAGAGGAAGTGGAGGCTCAGAGAGGATGCTACTTACAAGGAGCCACAGAGCATTGAGAGAACGCCTTGGGACTAGAACCCACGTTTTCACTTAGTCCAGCACCTTTTTCACTGTCCTGGACGGAATCCTCCCCTCTCCACCCCATCTTTCTAAACTTCAATCTTAATTTGCTCCAACTCCTAGGGTCAGCGAAGAACCCGAAGAGAATAACAGTGAGGAGGGGAAGAAAACAAGAGAAGTCGAGCCCCAGTCCCTCCTCACCTCTACACCGCTCCTGTGCCAGTTTTTTCTGCCCAAACCCTTCCCCGCGCTTTGCTCCAAGTTCTTAGCAGAATCCAAGGTAACTTCACCCCAAATCTTTCCACCCATACACCTCAATTCCTAGAGCTATTTGTCCCTCCTGTGACGCCCCCTACCCTCTTTCTAAAGCCACCCCCGGCTGCAGCCCGCCCCGAGCGCGCCGCCTGTTTATTCAGCCGGGAGTCCGGCACGCGCCAGGCGCACGCACTGCAACAACAAACCCCGCTGAATGGAGAGTTTGCGAGGAGCGGGAGAAAGGAACGGGAGGGGGGAGAGGAAAGGAGAAGGGGGAGTTTAGGGAGTGGGTGGGAGGAGGAGGTAAGAGGAGGGGGGAGTGGGGGCTGCAGCCGCTCGCAGCAGCAGCGGGGAGTGGGGGGCGAGGCGGGGCCAGTGCGCGCGTGGGGCTGGGTGTCCCATTGAAAAGGCGAACGCACTCCGGCCGCCCAGCACTCTCTCACTTCTGGCCAGGGAACGTGGAAGGCGCGTCGACAGAGATCCAGCCAGGGAGGGCGAGTGAAAGAAGGAAATCAGAAAGAAAGGGAGTTAACAAAATAATAAAAAACAGCCTGAGCCACGGCTGGAGAAACAGAGACCCGGCGCAAGAGAGCGCAGCCTTAGCAGGAGAGGAACGCGGCAGAGCGCGCTCAGCATTGACTTTTGCTGCTGCTTCTGCTTTTTTTTTTCTTAGAAACAAGAAGGCGCCAGCGGCAGCCTCACACGCGAGCGCCACGCGAGGCTCCCGAAGCCAACCCGCGAAGGGAGGAGGGGAGGGAGGAGGAGGCGGCGTAGAAGAAGGAGAAAAAACATTTTCACCTTCTTTGCTCCCGCTCTAAGAAGTCTCCTGGGGATTTTGTATAATATTTTAACTCCCTTCAGGGCTCCTCTTCATCTTTCCTCTTTCCCTCTCTGTTCCTGCACCCAAGTCCTGTCTGTGTCCCCCTCGCGCGCCCCGCACCTCGCGTCCCCGCTTGCTCGGATTCCGCGACTCCTTGGCCGCCACTGCGCATGGAGAGCTCTGCCAAGATGGAGAGCGGCGGCGCCGGCCAGCAGCCCCAGCCGCAGCCCCAGCAGCCCTTCCTGCCGCCCGCAGCCTGTTTCTTTGCCACCGCGGCAGCCGCGGCGGCGGCCGCAGCCGCAGCGGCCGCACAGAGCGCGCAGCAGCAGCAGCAGCAGCAGCAGGCGCCGCAGCTGAGACCGGTGGCCGACGGCCAGCCCTCAGGGGGCGGTCACAAGTCAGCGCCCAAGCAAGTCAAGCGACAGCGCTCGTCCTCGCCCGAACTGATGCGCTGCAAACGCCGGCTCAACTTCAGCGGCTTTGGCTACAGCCTGCCGCAGCAGCAGCCGGCAGCCGTAGCGCGCCGCAACGAGCGCGAGCGCAACCGCGTCAAGTTGGTCAACCTGGGCTTTGCCACCCTTCGGGAGCACGTCCCCAACGGCGCGGCCAACAAGAAGATGAGTAAGGTGGAGACGCTGCGCTCGGCGGTCGAGTACATTCGCGCGCTGCAGCAGCTGCTGGACGAGCATGACGCAGTGAGCGCCGCCTTCCAGGCTGGCGTCCTGTCGCCCACCATCTCCCCCAACTACTCCAACGACTTGAACTCCATGGCCGGCTCGCCGGTCTCATCCTACTCCTCGGACGAGGGCTCTTATGACCCGCTCAGCCCCGAGGAGCAGGAGCTGCTCGACTTCACCAACTGGTTCTGAGGGCTCGGCCTGGTCAGGCCCTGGTGCGAATGGACTTTGGAAGCAGGTAGGTTGCATTTTTGGGGCGGGCAGGGGGGTGTTCTTGCCTTCGTCCTCCCTCTGAGTGTCTGTGGAAGTGGTGATGTCTCCAAGGAGATGGGGGGATTTTTATTTAAAAGATTTGTGAAAGTTTGTCGATTTTAAGTCCTAGTTTGTTAGTTTCAGCACTGGCCTCTGAAAGTGGCTTTGCCCAGCTCTCCAAGGAGTGAAGGGTAAGAGTGAGGTGCAGAGATACTGGTGAACCGATTACCGGGATATGTCAAAAGAGGTGTCTACCTGACAGACTGTTTCCCCAGACTTTCCTCTCCCCCTACCGCTAGCCTACAAGTTCAAATTAACCTCTCTTATTTTCCTTATGTTATAGGGTGATCGCACAACCTGCATCTTTAGTGCTTTCTCGTCAGTGGCATTGGGAGGGGGAGAAAAGGAAAAAAGAAGAAGAAAGGAGAAGAAGAAAGAAAAAAGACAAAAAAACAAAAACAGTCAACCAAACCTAATGCCAACTAAGCGAGACAAGCCTGAGAGACATGGCTTTCAGAAAACGTTAAGCGCTCAGAACAGTATCTTTGCACTCCAATCATTCACGGAGATATGAAGAGCATCTGGGACCTGAGTCAACGTGCAAAATGCAGCTTGTGTGCAAAAGCAGTGGGCTCCTGGCAGAAGGGAGCAGCACACGAATTGTAGTAACTCCCACCACCACTAACACGCACAGCTGAAAGCGCTTGCTCTGGTCCCTTCACCTCCCTGCCCTCTCTCAAAGTGCAGTTCTTAGCTCTCTAGAAATGAGTTGCTGTCTTTCGTCTCAGTAGCCCCCACCCCAATAGCTGTAGACATTGGTTTACAGTGAAACTATGCTATTCTCAGCCCTTTGAAACCCTGCTTCTCCTCCAGGGCCCGATTCCCAAACCCCTCACACTGTCTTTTCTACCATTTTCATCATAGATTGCTTCCAATCTTTTGTGAATTTTTTATTATAAAAAAATCTATTTGTATCTATCCTAACCAGTTTGGGGATATATTAAGATATTTTTGTACATAAGAGAGAAAGAGAGAGAAAAATTTATAGAAGTTTTGTACAAATGGTTTAAAATGTGTATATCTTGATACTTTAACATGTAATACTATTACCTCTGCATATTTTAGATGTGTAGTTCACCTTACAACTGCCATTTTCCCTATGTGGTTTTGTAAAGAACTCTGCTCATAGGTGAGATCAAGAGGCCACCAGTTGTACTTCAGCACCAATGTGTCTTACTTTATAGAAATGTTGTTAATGTATTAATGATGTTATTAAATACTGTTCAAGAAGAACAAAGTTTATGCAGCTACTGTCCAAACTCAAAGTGGCAGCCAGTTGGTTTTGATAGGTTGCCTTTGGAGATTTCTATTACTGCCTTTTTTTTCTTACTGTTTTATTACAAACTTACAAAAATATGTATAACCCTGTTTTATACAAACTAGTTTCGTAATAAAACTTTTTTCCTTTTTTTTAAGTGAAAATAACCAGCTGCCTCTAAGCTTTCTTTGACTCTGATGCCCCAGTCCAGTTTTATGAAAATGTCAAAAAGAAGAGGTGGGTGGAGAAGTGAATGTTGCAAAACATGCTAAGTGGCAGAAATGACAATGATAAGTGCTACAGCCAGGCCTATCCAAATGGTGACTTTGTGATGAATGTGTGTGTGTGTGTGTGTGTGTGTGTGTGTGTGTGTTTGCATATACATGTATATATGTTTTCTTTCTATCCTTTGATGCAAATGTACACACCCACCAAAAGAATAGTGATTCATGGCTGCATTATCCTGTGATCAAAATTTAAAATCCCCCCAAAAAGTGAACCAGAAAGAGAGAGTCTTCCACCATTTTCCAATCCTCAACTCCATTCTGAGTTTCTCCTTGTGAAACTATGGTGGGGCTGGCTGAAATAATGGAGACTAGGTCTGGGTGGGGAGCATGTTGGTGCTGGGATGGGGGTTGGAGAGGCATCTCTCTCCACACACAAGCTCCCAGTGGTGAGCACCTTTCTCTTCCTTCACTTCCAGGATACATTTTCTACTCCTTTTCTCCAGTACACATGCTTGCCATATTGATTTTAAGGAAAAGGCATATATGATATGAATTCATTCCAGAAGGATTGAGATTTTAATTTAAAAAAACGCATTAGAAATGTGTGGTCGCTTTGAGACACTGGCCTATCTAAGCTTGTGACTCTATCCTAATAGCGTGAGCTGCGTGTAAAAGTACCCAATTACCAAGATTCAAAAAGAAATTGGTGGGTTTTTGGCTGGCTTGCTTCTTGTCAGTTAGCAAGAACGTGATTAGAATCCTACTCGGCCTCTCGCCGGCTCCTCGCTCGCCGCCTGCATTACTTGCAGATTCAGTTTGCGTGTCTCCAGCCAAGCGGAAAGCCGAGCGCAAAATGCATCTTACAAAACCCAACAAAGAACGGGTAGCCAGCACGTCTTCCAGAGTTAAAAATCTAGTCTGTGTTGGTACATCTATACCATTTAGTGGCACAGAATAATCATTTTTTAAAGCCGCGATGCGCGGAGCACGCCACAGCGTCTGATGTCATTTTGCTAAATGACCCTCTATAGAATGCACATTGAAGCTTCAGTCCCTTTCAAAGAGATGAGCGTAATTAAGGGAAAAAAAATCAGTAAATTCCTCATCGCCATAAATAATCGGACTTTCTGCCAGCAGTGGGCCAATTTAGAGCTTACTTGAGAGAACTAATGCTTTTGTGATGCCTGCTTTTATTTTTAATCTTCTCATTTGGAGGACCAGAGCTGGGCTCAACCCCCACTCTCCATTTCTCTTTCCTTTAATTTAGCTCCTTTGCAAGTTTACGAATAAGGTACGCAAAGAAAGTGTAGCAAGTCATTTATGGCTATGAATATAACATTAGGACAATGTTTCAGCCCCCACAAAAGGAGATATTTTTCTTTTCCTTCTCCTATGAGGACAGGTGTTCTTTGACTCACTTCTGAATGGGAAATAGCCAGTCTCGTTAAACTCGAGGCAAAGTTAGTCGTTGTTTGCCACAATGCGAAGACAAACTCGAAAAATTCACAAAAACACACACAATTTTGCCGAAGCTAGGAAAGGGCAAAGCAAGGATTGGGCAAAATCTCATTACATCTGCTCTAATCGCTTAGCAACACAAAGCCGGGGCTTGTGCGGCGAAGGGAAGCTATTCACAGCGCTCTGACAGGCCGCATTCAGCGCGCGTTAGTCAGCTCCATAAATCACCGCTGCCCATTGGCTGCGCGGCGGGCTTTGGAGCGGCCCTGGGCTGTCAGCGAAATACAAAATGTAGACCCCAGAGGCTAGGAATAGCAGGCTCTCCCCGGCCTTAGCCCCCACCTTTTTTTTTTTTTTTTTTTTTTTTTTTTTTAATGTGTGTGTGTGAGAGAGAGAGAAGGGGAATGCTGGAGGTGGAAAACTGCGTTGACTTTATTGACTGAGAAATCTTACCTATTCAACAATGACATGGAGACCACCGAGTTAAGACTGAAGACACGCCTTAAATCGATGAGGAGGAGCGGGGAGTGCGAGAAAGAAAGAAAATACAGACCTGCCTCTGAGGGCTGCAGAGCTGTTGAAAGGCAGGCATCATCAGAAACTGGGAGAGAGCTATTACACACGTTTCACCTCCCTGACATAGTTCTTTTAACATTTTATTGCGAGTAGGAGGGTTTGCATCAAGAAGAGTCTATCTCAAGTTCACATCAGGCAGGACCCACCAAGGAACAGAGAAGAAACCATTCTGTGGTTTGCACAGAATTTATAAGGAGTAGGACTGAGATGTCTTAAGAGGGGTAGAATGTGCCTTTCCACTTCACTGTTCTTGCAGTGCTGGGGATGTTTAAACACAGAAGAAACAGCCCAATTCCTTGATACACACAACAGCTAGGTGAAGCCACCTAAAGGAGTTAGTAAATGGGTTGGTGGCAGAGATTACAAGCTATATGTAAATGTTAACCCCTTCTGTTGTTGCTATTCTTATCTTCCAGTCTTGTCTCTCATTTTCCTGGGGACTGGTCAGATGCATCTAAATCACAGCCCAGACTGGACGTGGAATCAAGGGAGATTTTCCTAAGAAGTCCAGGTTGCCTTACCTCAAATGCCACCTACTCCAAGAAGCACTTCCTGACCACCCTCTTTAAAGTAGCTCTCCATCTGCTACAATCACTGTCCTTTAATCCTGTTTTTCCTTCCTGGCATCTACCACTATCTGAAAATGCTGTATCTTTGTTTGGTTGTATGATTATTGTCAATTACACACTACTAAACGGTAACCTCCCTGAAGCCAGGGATCTTAATTGTCTTGTTCACCATTATCTTCCCCACCCCTGGGAAGATAGGTATTTGTTGACTAAATGGACAAATGGAGATTGTCTTCTCTGCTCCACCAAAAATTGTGTTTTTTATTCTTCCTTTCCCTTCCACATGCACGTTCCACCCTTCTCTGCTCTTCTGCCTCAGGAGGCAGGCTTATCTTCATGGAATTCATCACAAGGGTTGTGTGCCCTTCTGGCTTCCTCTTGAGTTTGGCCAGTGGGAGACACCAGCAGGAACTGGCAAAGTGGAAGAGGAGATAAGTTGGGATATTTTTATCCCTGCTCCATTCCGGCCTAAGCCCTGTTGCTTTGGCAGTGGCTCTGCTCCTTGTCTGAAGGCCAGTGCTCTCATCAGGAGGCTTCTCTCCCACAGATACAGCTCTTGCTGAGGTCTAGTAACAACCTCTTTCTCTTGCCTCTTAATTAAGGCCCAGAGCTGGTAACAGCTCCTCCTTATTCCTAGTCTCTGGGTGCAGCATCATTTTGGTTAACCTCACCAACATCTCTGTCTTTCTGTTAAGCTTTTTTCATTTACCCTTGTGCCATCATCTCTCTTGCTGACACTGTCTGGTACACAGGCCATTTCACCACAGGATCTCATGGAAATACCAGTTTTGTGTAAGAGATACTTTTCAGAGACTCCTAGGGTTATAAGTAAGAAACATCCTGGAGTATGGATGAACCCAATTCCATATAACATGTGACTCTAGAAACACCACTTCATCTTTTTGAGACAGGAGTGAAGTCAATTACAGTTTTCTCTTCTAGAAAATGAGGAAACTGATACCTTCCTTTGCCTAGATGACCAGATGAACAGAAAATGAACGGGCTTTAGAGCAACCAATGACTATATCAATGCAAGAAATATATGTTTCTAATGATCTTTCTGAACCAGGTAGTAGGGTGGTACTGGGTCTTGCAGAAGCTGTTGCTGCTACTGGAAGCCACCCCCACTTTCTTTGCCCATTCATTCACTCTGCAATTTATACACTCACTTCAAAAGGGAGGGGAAAATGATTAAATTTGATCAACATTTCTAGAACTTAATTGAGTTAATTTGTATTTTCTAGAGAGAGCTCTCCAAGAAGCATCTTTTATTGCAACATCCTTTAAAAAACACTGTGGATGCTTTTGTGGTGTAATAATCGTCCACAACCTCAGATCCCTTTACTTATTGCTGAAAAGCCTCTGAAGTTTCTCCCTCTCTCCACTCCTGAGCCAAGAAATGATTCTTTTCGGACTTCCCCAGAATCTCCAGGTTACCCGGAGTCCACGATGAGAAGGAAAGTGGACTCGCTGACACTGAGGTTCTTTATCCACTGCGAAAGCAGTGGCTTGAATCTAGCGCAGGTAGAAGTTATATTCCTTCTTCCCTTGTATGCAAGATTAGGTTGTTACAAAAGAGGGTGTGTAGGTTAATGGTAGGAAGCAAGTTGAAGCGCGGAGCTCGGGCCCTGAGCGCGTGTCAGGCTTAATGATTTATTCAAGCTGCAGCGCATCCGGGCGTTGATTGGCTGCAGGCATGCGTCCGCTGTCAGCGGCGCGCGCCAGGACTCGCCAGGCTACCTGAAGCTGGGGGGAGAAACAGTAGGCATAGGGACCCGAGGGGAGAGGTGTGAAAAAAAGGAACAGGTAGGGGTAGGGGTGAGAGAGGAAGAGGGAGAGAGTAACAGAGATAGAGGAAGAGAGACCAGAGGAGATGGGAAAAGAAAAAGTAGGGAGAGCTTGGAGAGAGGAGGAGATAAGGGAAGGAAGTAGGGAGAAGAGAGAAGGGTAAGAGAAAATCTAGCGTAGGTTGCGGGGGTGGGAGAAAGGAGAGAGGAAAAGATGGAGAAAGCAGAAGAGAAAAACAGGAGGGAGAAAGAGAGTGACGGAGAGGCGAGGATAGGAGAATACAAGAGAGAGAGAGCAAAGAGAGAGGTTGGAGACGGGAGTGGGACGCGCTCCCAGAACGTCCCGCTTGCGCCCCCCTCCAGGCACCCAGCGGGCGGTCGCTTACAAAGCCGCCTTTGATGCGCTGGCTACCAGGGCTATTTTGGGGACGAGTTGGGGGAAAGCCGCCAACACACACTCCTTGGAGGGAGTCACTTTCTGTAAAGTGCGTTGGAGAGCACTGGGCCCCGGCTCCGGGCTTTCGAAGCAGGAAGTGGATGCCGGGGACAA